CATCTTATTAAAAAGCTTCTGCACTGCAAAGGAAACCATCAACAGAACTAAGAGACAACCTACTATGTGGGAGTATATAAAGAACTCAAAACAATCAGACCCCCCAAATATAAAGACCCAATTCTAAAATGGGCATCTGAAATGAACAGGCATTTCTCAGACAAAGAAGTAAAAGAAGCAAGTAAATATATGAAAAAATGTTCCACATCACTGGTCATTCTAGAGATGCAGATGAAAACAGCACTGAGATGCCACCTCACCCCACAAAGAATGGCTGCTATCAAGAAATCACACAGTAACAAATGTTGGCGGGGTTGTGGGGAGAAAGGAACTCTACAGCATTTTATATAAGAAAGTCACCTCTAGGATGCTGAAGTCATTTCACTCCACTTTCCTCCCTTGGGCATTCTAGTTAGAAATTGAGCACAATATCTGATTTTGGGCCTCTGAAAGAAATGTTAGCCAAATGATCATTTAGTGATAAAACTGAATTTAAAACCAAGTCCTTTAAAACCTAGACAGATTAGTGCAGTGGATTTTGAAGTAATCAGGCTATGGTGCATTTTTCTTTGTTAATGAAGGTAGAATGTACACTACCAATTTTAAAATAAAAACTTCAGATCAAGAAAACCTATTCATCTTGATTATGGAAAATAAGATACAGTCACAGTAGTAGAAAACTATAAATCTTCAACTTATCATTTTGATTTATGTTCTGCAAACCTAGATTATTTTTCTAAGTCATGTAAGCAGGAAAACATGATTTGACCTAACCTATGATTTTTTCTAGTGACTATTTCATGTTAAGAGTGCATATTAATATTTTGTTGCAGAAATATTACTGTTTGATTATGAGATCAGATCCCATTGGAGTATATCATGTCATTTTACCTCTCTGAAATCCCCCATATTTTGTATTATGAAACACACCTGGTCCCAAGGGCCTGAGGACTGTGTAGTTGTTTTAGTTATTATTTTTTGAGACTGTAGCTAACAACATGGCAACATAAAGAGACCATAGGTAAATCATATAAATATATTTGGGGCCTTTATTCACTATTTCGTTTATGCCTGGAGACTTTTTTATGATTAATTGAGAAAAAAGTGTTTCTTTGCTCCACATCTGTCTTACCTAGTGGAGCTCAGTGACAACCCAGTAATGCAGTTTTAGGAGAGAAAAGTGAGTATTACCTTCAAAGACATCATTTCAAAGGCAGGCTTATCTATCTCTGGGCCTCGCATGCTCAGAGCTAGGTTGTTCTGTGTTGCTGAGTAGCACTGTAGTGGCCATGGTGTTCTCTTCCATATGCTACCTGGTACTGAGCTGAAGACAGGATTATTATTCATCTGTTTTTACCTCTTCAGACAGAATACTGTAGGCAAATGTTTCTCTTTTGTCTTGAGTTTCTTTACCTTTGCCATAAACATTCCCAGTTTTTCCTCCTTGATTGTGTTTGGTTTTTTAGAAAGTGAAAGCCCTACATACAACAGTCAACTAATATTTCATCTTAAAAATCAATTAACATTTCATTTTCCTCTGAAGAGTATAAAAATCACAAAGTTCTAAAGGAATGTACAAGCTCATAGAGGAGAAAGAGACAGATTAGAATAGTCAGGAAGAGATTTTACTTTTAAATTTAAGCAGGTCTGAATTTGAATCCTAGCTCCACTACTGCATGAATAGGTGACCTCAGGCAAGTTACTCTTCCTGATACCTCAGTTTTTCCATCTAAAAATTGGAATGGTAAAACCTGTGTCATGAAGTCATCATGCAGGTAAAATGAGATCGCGTACGTAAAGGCCTTAGCAACAGGCAGTATACTGCGTTATTGCTAGCCACTATTAGTAAGCACTGTAGTCTGGTCTTAATGGAAAGAGCCTGTACTTTAGTCACACAGACGTAATGTTCAAATCCTAGCATCTTTTATTCCTCACATGTGACTGTGAGTGAGTTATCTAACCTCTCTAAGCCCCAATTTAATCATTTGCAAAATAGGGAACACACTATCTACCTTCTAGAGTTATTGTAAGGATTAAATAGCAAATATGTTAGGCATCTAGGCTAAGTCTTGACTTTTAATGTCCTGTCAAGTGCTCCTCCACCTACTGGCCACAGGAACACAAGAGAGTAGTATGGCATTGAGTATCAGATCTTAACAATAGTTAGTGAAAGTGCTTTGCAAATTGCATATGCTAATACAGTGTGAACCAACACTATTTCATTTGAAGATTTTAGGAAGAAGGAATATCTCTGGACTAGGAGTGAAAGGAAGGCTTCCTAAGCAAGAAAATATTTAAGCTGAGGATCGAAGGTAACAGTGATGTCACCAGAGGAAAGTAGCATCCCTGTTATGGGGTTCAAGAACAAAATGACTATATACAGGGTAATAATGGTAGTTCCAATGATAATTATTATTGAGTCAGCAGAGTATAATGCTTTCCATCAGATTTATTAAATAGAATGAGTTAAAAATTCAGGTAGGAAAGTATAGACTTATCTGGACACCATTGAGAAATAGTTTCACTTGTATTTTCCATATTACAGCCAATTTGCCAATGCTTTGCGTATGAGGACTGACAGAATATTGAAGGCTCTAAGGAAGCGGGAAGAGACAGTGATGGATAGTACTGAAATGTTAGAAAGAGCAGCAGAAGAGGAGGAGGATGCTGTTGATGAAGAGAAGGAGAGCACAAGTAGTCAACAATAGGGTATGATATTTGAATCTTGTTAACTTTATATTTTTACCATCATCTTGGTTTGTTTGACACATTTTCCCACCACAAATGTTTGAATCGCAAGAGGATCAGTGTCCTTGGTGAGATTTGGGTGACAGGAAGGTAAACAGGAGAGGTGCCAAATTGTTTGGATGTTGTATTATTTGGAATGCATGGTTTAGCCCTCAGAGGAAGCAAAGAAATGGAATCTGGCTGCTCTGGCACTACAGCTCCATGACACACACCTTTAATAAATTATCCTGGCCACAGTCCTCAGTGTTTGTTAACCACACCACATATCCAGGGGAAGGACTATGGCGTCAGGAGCCTGACACACCTGCGATGATGCCCTGGATCTTAACTCTTAGTCACAGCTACCTGCTTCCTACACCGGCACAATGCAGTGTTAGAAGGCATTGAGAGAAGGATCCCAGAATCCTACATTGGGGACTACCTGGGCCTCAGTTGCATAGGTTTACAGACTCCTAGTTTTGGCCTGGGTCTCTTTCTCACAAAATAATTGTGAAGGGTCAAATAAGAATAAAATGATTGCTGAGAAAGGGGGGATACCTGCAGGACTAACATATGAAGCTAGGAGTCAGAAGCCCCAGATCATTAACTACTGGTGTTTGCAGGGAAAGTAGCTTTCAGTTCTTTAGTGCTGTCACCTGAGACTTTTTTGTGTAGTGTAAACAATATACTGTATGTAAAAATGCTTGGAAAATTTCAATGTGCTGCTCATATTTAAGATGTTAATTTCTAACATCATTGAACTTTGTGTCAGTAGACTAGATTTAGTCTCAGAGGCACTATTGACAGCACAAGCTAGGGCAGGTCTTTTGGATTTCTTGGTTCTCAGTTTGCCAGTATGCAAAATGAAAAATGACTTATCTCAGAAAATCAAAGGAAATCTTTTCACAGGGTATTATATATGTTTACATGGATATTTGTGATATATTATTAAGATGACATGTAGCTATATACTTTAATAATAATAATACACGTATATTATTACTACTATATTACCTTGTACTGTATAGGTTTAATGCAGTGCATGCATGTGTGTGCGCCTGTATGGCAGTGTAACTGAACTAACAAAACTTGACTTCTGTGAGCCACATACTGGGGCATGGAAGTCTTTGTGTTGCAGAAATGATCTCTATAATGGTATTTGCTACACTCTTTTGACTTTCTCACAGTTTCCTAAGATGGTGTGCTGGCAGACTGAAAATTTATAGTAATCATAACATTTAATATACAGATTTTGAGAATCTTGTTGCAATCATTAACTTTTACAACAAAGTGTGACGCATGTATACTCCTCCTTTCACATTGTTTAACCCTACTTTACTTTTCTGCCCTAGCATTGCTTCCCCATTGAGATGAATGCAAAACTTCCAGAGCAGAGGAGACTGTTCCAGTCATCCAGGCCTAGCAGTTCATTTTAGAAAGACAAAAATTTGTTCTTATTTTTGTCATCTTTAGTCTCAAATATAAAATAAAGTTGATTGGTTTTTATGCATCAAACAAGAATCCAGATTATTTTTGTTAAACAATTTCTACAGAATTTTAAAAACCATGTGTAGAGTATTGGTGGCACTCAGGTCTTACTTAGTAATTTTTGAAACTTGGTTTATTTATTATCATATACTTGTGTTGATGCTAAATAAAGCAGGAATTTGAATTTGTCACTCACCTTCTAGCAAAGTGAGGGAAAAAATGCAGTAGTCATGTTTCACTGTGTATGATACTCTATTTTAAGGAAAACTTTGCAGTAGGCCAATTCTTTTTGTTTTATAACTTATAGCAGTATTTGTACCTACTGTAAAATAAGACACATTCATTATCAAATACTTGGTAAATAGGGATGTGGGAGAATTTTAAAAATCACCCAAAATCACACAGTCCAGTGCTAAACAATATTGTAACATTGTTTGGTTTACTTTTAAAATAATAGTGTTCTGTGAGATACACAAATTGATTGTACTTTAAATTTTTTTTCATTTTAATCCACTTATCTTTTCTGAAATATGTGGTGCCTAAGTTTACCTGATCTTGTTACTTAATGAGCAAACATTGATTGCACCCCTCCTAGGTGCCATCCCCTTCTTTGTGTTGGATATTTAGTTGTGAGCAGGACACACTTAGCTGCGCCTTCCTGGAACTCCCAGCGTAGTTGGAGAGGAAGCCAGGTAAAGGAGTAATGAATGACAGGACTGTGATGAGAGCACTAAGTGTTTGGGAGCACGGTGACAGGGGTACCTAGCCCTGACCAGAAGTTACTTGGAGAATGACAAAGACTGAAAGGGGAAGACACTTGAGTTTTGCAGTACTCTTCTGAGGTTTGGTAATCAGAAAAGGAAAAGTTCTTATTACTGAAACCGCAAATAAATCCAGGTGAACCCAGGGCTCGATAGATGTAAGGAATTCTTGTAAAATGGAGGTTCAGAAAGATACTCCATTTGGGGTGTGAGCATTTACTGTACAGATGTGACATGAACTGAAAGATTTACCAAGGCAGCAGCATTCCTGCTTTCTGAAGAAGCTGCTGAGGTGTTTGATAGATACAGGCAGAAGGAGACCTCTTGCAGATTTGCAGACACCCTTTTAATTCAGGAGTCCAGACTTTTCAGTGGCTCTCCCCTGAGTACATACCAGATTCTACAGTGCTACATAAAGAGAAATGACCAAAGCATACATACAAAACATTTTCTACTCTTACTAAGTTCACATTCTAGTGAAACAGGTAGAAAGGAAACAAATTAGTAAAATATGTGACATGCTAGCTAATATGTGCTAAGGAGAAAAAAGGAAAAGAGCTAGGATGTGTGAGGGAGGGTTGCAGTTGTAGATAACGTGGCTAGAGAAGGCTTAGAATGTGATGTGTGAGTAAAGACTTCAAGGAGTAAGGAAGCAAGCTGTACAGGTACCAAAGGGAAAATGTTGCACACAGAAGGCATGAGTCCAAGAGGAGCAGTGAGGTGGAATATTGAGCCCAGTGGCATGGCCAAAGCAGAGTGAGCAAGAGGGCTAGAGGTGGCAGCTGAGGTGAGAGGTTTAATGCAAGGTTGGCAGACATTTTGGCTTTCACTTGGAGTGATTTGGGAAGCCCGTTGGACACTTGAAGAACAGCAGTGACACAATCTGAACAATGTTTTAATATGAGAACTCAATATGGATAACAGACTTTATGGGGTAGGTGCTGAAGCAGAGAGCTGGGAAATGTCATGGCTTAGACCAGTGAGGTGCTTGGTCTTGATGTGTTCTGCAGGAAGAACTGCCAAGATTTTCTGAAGAGTAGTGTCTGGAGTATAGATAGGAAAGAAAGAAACCAGGATTTTGGTGTGGGCAACTAGAACATAAATCTTATGAGCAGAAGAACAAATAAGACCAGGAAGGAAAAGATTGTATAAAGCCAATAACCTGAACCACTGATAACTTAAGAAAATTCAGGGTAGTTTTATGGGAATATCAAAACAAGCCAGTGGATCTTGATTTACAGGTAACTTAGCAGGATGTGATGCTACATGCCTGTAATTCCAGCTGCTCAAGAGGCTGAGGCCGGAGGATTGCCAATTGCAGTCTTGCTTGGGCACCTTAGCGAGACCTATCATCTTAGAAAGGGCTGGGAGATAGCTGAGTGGTAAAGTGCTCCTGGGTTTGATCCCCAGTACCAAATAAAAAGTAACCTATTTTCAGGAATTATTTTGCTAGGAAAACCTAGTTTTTATGATTGTGTATATATGATCCACAGGGTGAAAGTAATAAAACTTGTGTTTGATGGTTTAAAAGTAAAAGTAAGAGTTTGGTTGGTCAAGAGACAATTTGTAAAAGTTGTAAAATACTTTTGAAAACTGTAACTTGCCCTCTTGATTCCCATATTCTTTTAAAAAAATTGTCTTCTGTGGCACTAGGAATTGGACCCAGGGGCTCTGTACCATTGAGCTGTATACACAGCCTTTTTTATTTTTTGAGACAAGGTCTCCTTAAGTTGCCCAGACTAACCACAAACTTGTAATCCTCCTATCTCATCCTTCTTGGTAACCAGGTTTATGGATATGTGCTACCACACATGGCTCCATTTTTTCATAGCATCCATCACCTGTGAACTTAGCGTGTAAGTCAGTTATTTTGTTTTGCTTGTTTATTATTTGTTTTCTGCAAGGGCAAGGATTTCTGTGTTTTGTTCATCAATGCATCTCTATATTAGAGTTCTTCAGAAAGAATACTGTGTGTATGTGTGTGAGAGAGAGGGAAAGGGAGAAAGAATAAAAAATTGGATCATGTGGTCATGGAGGCACGCAAGTCCCAAGATATTCAGGGGGCACCAGTAAGCTGCAGACTCAAGGAAGCTGAGGGTTTAGTTTCATTTCCAATTTCAAAGGCCTGAGCACTAGGAGAGCAGATGGAATAGTTCCCATGCAAATACTGGCAGGCCTGAGACCTAGGTAGAACCAGTGTTCCTGTGCAGAGGTATTCAGGTGTGAAGGATTCTTACTCAAGGGAGGATTTTTGTTGTACTCAGCCTTACACCTGATTGGATGAGGCCCACCTGATTGAGGAAAGCCAATCTGCTATATGCAGTCCTACCATTTAAATGTTAATCTCGCCCCAAAACTACCTCAAAGATACACCCAGAAAAATGACCAAATATCTGGGCACCCTGTGTTCCATTCAAGTCTTCACATAAAATTAACCATCACAATCCCAAGCGCCTAGAACAGTGTCTGGTACACAATAGGTACCAAGAAAATACTTGGGACTATTGAATTGGAATCAAGATTTATGGAGTTCTTTTAGCGCTGATGAATAGGCACATCCAAGTAAGATGAAATC